AATATGCTGTTACTTAGGAAGCGCAAAAACCACTGCGTAATGGCAACTGATCTCCGATTGCTCCTCTTGACACAACTAATTGGTGTATGCTTATCGGCGCTGGCACAGGCACAGGCACAGTTGAAGCTACAAATTGCCGATTTACAAGTCGACGCAACACGACGCGAGTACTTCGCCCTACAGGACTCGTTGTGGGATTACTTGAATAGAGACGGTACCAGCAAAAGTTCGCAACTGCGAAAAGTTTACGACTCGCATCGCAAATTTGTTAATGACAACCTACAAAGCAATTTCGAGGTGGGAAAGTATGATATACTAAATCACTACGAATGGAGTCTATTGGAGCGCGACTTGCTGCAAATCGACAGCATATTCGGTTACTATAAGGTGCGCTATTCGTATACAAATCCGTGTGAAACATATCGTTACCTTGATATAGAAAGGTCCTATCTAATATTTTTGTTTTTGTACAAAGTGGTTATAAAAGTTTATAAAAACCAAGGATCTTGCGTTGCGAATTTTATCAAAGCCCTGGTTTTGTAATAAGCACAAAAACTAATTTAATGATGTAGTTGTTAGTTGTTATTGAATTCTTTTTAGTCGTTAGTGAGTGGAATTTCGAAAAAAAAAATTAGTTAGGACCTTTCTATGTTGTAGATTAAGGTAACGTTATGTGCTTGTATGCATATATATGTATGTACATATGTATGTGCAGTGGGAACGATATGTGGTGACCGCATTTTAAATACTTTATTTCATGCATTTGCAGAATTTCATGACCGAGCACAACAACACAGCTGAGCTAAATGAGCGCGCCGTACTGGACATCTGCGAGACGGTGCTACGTAACGACAACACCTTTTCAATGTCGCGCATTTTCCAGGATGTCGAACTAGTGATGGTGAAGCAAGCACTGTATTACAGAGCAATGCTGGTCAGTTTAAAGTCGCTGTGGGCATATTTTAGGAATGTCCATAGATTCGAATACCAAATGGAACAAAAATGAAATGCTTAAGTAGAGACAGACAGACAGACAGACAGTATTTAAGCAGCTGTTCACGAATGTGGCTAGGTTCACATTTCATCGTAATATGCATTTGATTCAGTTATTATCGTAAAAAATTTAAACAAATCACACTATTTGAAAATAGAAGCCAGTTAGTTATAACAAATATATGTATATATATTAATTTGCCTGCGAAAAATGCATGGAATTAACTTTGCCTCGACGGGTTTCTACATACTTTATTAAATTTTTAATTTAATTGCATTTGAATGTGTGCGGAAACACAGTTAATACAAGCATGGAGCTGATGGAGTTGATTACATACATGCATGCATATGCATTCAAGCAATTTAAAAACATATGCCAATTCTCGTAACGCCAATTCGATTGGCAAATCTAGGTAAACAATAGAAATGCACACATACATATGCGCGTTAAGAAACGGTATAACTATATATATACGTACTTTCTACATATGTATGCCTTTTAAACTGTCAGCCCTAAAGTGACCACAAACTACGAAATAAGAAAGAACAAAGCAAATAGAGCTGGAATGAAGCTACGAAATACCAGGGCCTCATAAAGCAACTCAAGTTTCAGTATCTGCAAAAAAAACACACAGTTGCCCTTCGAATAAAAAAGCAAGGCCATGACGGTTACCTAGCATTTTTACACATGCACCCTAACGCGCAAACTGTTTTCAGAAAGTATTTAACAAGCCTAGGTAAACACTTTCTGTATTAAAAATGTTCGTAGATGTGAAAGATCTTTTTTATACATATTTTTAACATACCATATGTATAGGCATATGTATAGGCATATATGTACGTATCGGCACACCTAGATCTTAAGTGAGCTAACTCAAAATTCAGATCGGGAAATATAACTGCTTGGGGATCGTACAAATTCAATGCAATTAATACAAAAACCGGCATAATAGTAGTTCCTTAGTTAGTGTATATAATCATTAAGAAAAATATATTTGCATTCATTGGAGGTAAGTCCTATACATTTATTTAGGCAAAAAATTGTCCAAATTTTTTTTTTTTTTTTTTTTTTGAGTTGATCGCACTTTAGATCTAGGTGTGCGATATTATGTACTTACTTTTACCGATCCCATTCTTAACAATAAAATGAAAAATTGTTTGGTTACAGGAATCGATGGACCAAATATGCCACACAAAACAATCGGCCCAGCAGTTCCTTAATTCGCTGTATGCGGATATAGCCCTAACCGAACTAAAGGGCTACACTATGATGCAGTTTTCCTGGATGATGTTAAGGATCTACGGCAAAGGCAAACTACAATTATGGACCAGAGAGATTACCACTTAAAACTGTATTGATATTTCTATATATTACAGGTAACTTTACACAAGAGGTCGATTTAATGCGCATGGACTTTGAGAAACGAACTGAGCGCACGCTAAAATTATTGCGAGAAGTTATGCGGCGCGCCGATCGCATTGTGTGGCGTTGCGATCCTGCTAAATTTGTACGGGGCAAAAATTACGATGAGGTGACTCGGCTATTACAGGGCTACATCGAGAATGAAGTTGACTTGAATAAGGAGGAAACCTGCCGTGAGACTTGCGATTTTTACCAATCAACCAGATCGGAGGGTTGCTTTAAAGATCTGTACTGCGCACGCCAACCCAGATGTTCTGGTAAATTGTATCACTGCACATTTGTGGACTCAGACATGTGGGTGTGCCCTGCTGTATGTGTAACGATTAATTATGTATTAAATATTACATTATTTAAGCGAACTCCTTTTTTTTATAACAGAGCCGTAATAGTACGCGGCGCTATGAATACATTGAATATGAAAATGGGCGCGTACTTGGTCAGCGATCAGCCTGTGTGCGTGGCACAACAAAGGTAAGACCACATTCCATACATATGTACATATATCACTTTCTAAAACTGAAGAGATATTCCTACATAAGAGTGTATTCTGACACATTCATATACATACATATGTACATATCTACAGGTGGACTCCTGGTGGCGCTATCTTTTCTGGCATTGCAGCTACTGCTTTTGTTTGTGCGATGAGATTAGTATTAAATCTGATCGCTACTTCAATCTTCGCGAAACAGCCTCTGATGTGGAAAACAATAAGTAAGCCTCCTTCAAGACATTATTATTGAGCGATTAATGAAATCGGTTTCCTCATTTTCCATGTATAAATATTTAGGGTCGTCACTGGCTTACGTTTCGTGAAAAATAATCGTATATTTCACTTACAAATTCAAGAAGGACAACTTTTACCACGAGGTGCCATAAATCGAACTAGCCTCTCTTGGAAGCCGTTTGAAGACTATAAAATATTCGATAGAGACGTGCGTAATGGGCGGGACTATCACACGCTTAGTTTCGAAAGCCGCTCGGTCGACTTGGACGACATCTACACAGACGACAATTCATATGTTGTCGTTGGTGTGCGATTCCGAGTGGTTGGCGCCCATTTGAACGTAGAGGCCAAGCTAGCCGAATACGACTTTAAAGCTGGCAAATTAATAAATCCGGAAATCAATAGCTTTTGGAAATCCAACGACAACACAGACGTTAGCGGCGACCGAAGGTAACTTGGAATGGAATTTACGTCTGAAACAAATCATCTTACTAAATGTTCGGTATTTTAAGGCAAAAAATAAATCTCCACAACCCGGATATGTCTACGCGCACTATTGTCAAATCTATACCAGACTCTCGACACAACCAGTACATTGACTTTGTCAATACGAGCTTGGAAAAAGATGCTGCGCAAAGCACTGTGCCTTTTATTGATACACAGGAAGTGGTATCCAATCCTCCAGTGCCTCTTTCCGGCCTCGGCATATACCATAAGGGGCAAAGTGGTTATGGCGGTTTTCTTGCACCAAAGATTATGACCTACGATTTTAC